TGCCTAATTTATCCTGATTCTATTTGGTTACTTTTCCCTTCTACGTAAAAAATGAAATAACACAATTAAGTTTTGAGCCTCAGTGTGTCTCTCAACTAATATTACTAGGTTTTTTTTACTTTCTTGTGTGTAGAAAAATAAAATAATTTAAAGATATATCTTGAGGTTTCCGCATTCTCTCCTTTGTCGCTCAACTAATCATCGCAAGTTTTTTTTTTTTTTTTTACTGACTCCTCCCTAATCTCCTCCCTTTCAAAACTACATCATTTATAGTTAGTTAATTTTGTTAAAGTGGTTGACATGTCGGAAGAGTACGTAATCATTTGATAATCTGTACGCGAATCGCAATTGCTTTTTTTTTTTTTTCTCATGTGCTCAGCGGGTATGGTAACTGCTGATAGTATCAGTGTGAAAAAAAGCCTAGCCTGCGTTAAGTTATTTCGAGGAAATTAAATCGGCGTAACGCAGGCTTATAGTTCCCGGCGCAATTGTAAAAGGTAGCCGTGCCTTTGCACCGGCGAAGCGAGACGAACGGTGAGCTTGCAATGATAGAAACATGTAAATAATTGTCCAAGGTGTTAAAAAATGGTAACTATCTGTATATGGGAATATATACACCGGTTTCGATAAACGTTGTCATCGTCAAAGGCGATAGACAATAGGCGATAGGCGTAAAGCGATAGCAGATAGGTCATTCCAAGATCCAAGAATAGCTGGAATGACTTCTGTTTCTACTTCTTATTTTCGTCAAGAAATTGAACCTTAATGATGAGACTGATTTGATGTTCTTGGTATTCAACGATACCATTTCCATTTCGAMATGACCTATCCCCTATCGCTGGCGATGACGACTTTTATTGAAATAAGTGTATACAAACTACATATTATTCGTACTGCGGTTGAAATGTATCAAATTGAGCTGATCCTCGCAGTACATTAAGCAACTTATGCAGGGCAAATGAAAAGACTCCGAAAAAATTMATAGTCTTGAACGGGATTTAAACCCGTGAATTTTTTCTGAGTTTTAAATTTGCACCTGCATAAGTTGCTTGATATACTGCGAGGATCAGCTCAATTTGATATATAAAAAAGGCCCTATCATTGCAAGCTCACCGTTCGTCTCGCTTCGCCGGTRCAAAGGTACGAATACCGTACCTTTCAAGATGGCACAGGGAACTGGGAAAGGAACTACATTGTATTTTGATCGTATAGGTTGGGCGTACGATGACGTCAATTGACGTCAAGAACATGAAATTCTTGGAAATTCAAGCAGTAAACAAACAAACGTCAAAAGTGGCAAAATCCTATCGCTTTGGAAGATATCTGAGAATTTGAGGACAAATTTCTTGAGGGTTTTCAAGTAGACGTTGTGAAATTTGACAGTAAATGTATGTTGGTTGGCAAGATGTTGCCAACCAACCTACTTTTGCTGCAAAATTTAGCAACTTTAATTTATTATGTCTCCTGAACTAATGAAGCAACTGCTCTCACACTGATAAACATTTATCAACAGTTATGACTTCTTTATATTTCTTTAGTCCAATCGTTTGATTTTGAATTTTGGAAATGTAAACAATACGCCCACCTATATGAAAGTCAAAAAGACAGAAGGAATACATTATGCCTGCTTGGTAATGGTACTAAATATTAAGCTGGAAAAATGAAAGTGTTCACGCCATATCTTATGCTATTTTTAGTTTCATTTTAGAAAAGTCAATTAGTTAAACTCAGTATTTGAAATATATATTAATATTTGAGCACTGTAACRTCAACTTGAAGGAAGAAATGACACTAAGCAAAAATCCAAGGCTCTAAGCTCACAAAAAGGAAATGAGTATTTTAAAGCCAATATATTGATAATTTGTTGGCGACAGTCAATGCGAAAGAAGCAAATGATGGCCTTCRCAGGCATAAAATAATGTGTCTATTTTTACGAAATTAGCATGTGAAAAAAAGAAACATTCAAAGTATTTACATTTACATATATTCATAGTTTGATAGTAGTTTTGCCTACCGACATTAATGTGCGGGAACGAAATGCGGTGAAATTCAATACAATGGCCTTCAGAAGCAAAATGACACTATTATGTCTTGGCCTTCGCAAGCTGAATATTTCTATTMAAGAAATTAGCATGTGAAAAAAGAAACATTCAAAGTATTTACATTTACATATATTCATAGTTTGATAGTAGTTTTGCCTACCGACATTAATGTGCGGGAACGAAATGCGGTGAAATTCAATACAATGGCCTTCAGAAGCAAAATGACACTATTATGTCTTGGCCTTCGCAAGCTGAATATTTCTATTYAAGAAATTAGCATGTGAAAAAAAAACCCTTTAAACGCAGTATTACGATATCCGTACTCCTATTTCAAACTGAAACGTCTGTCGGAGATCTGAAATGGGCGATCTGAGACTAAGCTGAATTTCAGTTATGTGCTTATATATTTTTGTGGATATTACATTTCAGATTGCTGATCTCCCACCGACAACGTCTTTTTGAAATAGGTAGTTTTGGTATTTTTGCTCTTGAAATGGAACCATCTCAAGCTTATCTTGAATGCAAGGCTAAAATTTAAATACAAAAAAAAAAAAAAAAAAAAAAAAAAGCCACAAAAATCCATTCGACAAAAGATAACTCGCATCCAAGATAATTTTGAGGAGATTAGTTATATTTGAAAGCTTCTTGTGGTTTCAGAGAGAGAGAGAGGAAATGTTAGAAACAAATTCACAGATCTTGGGTTTTGTAATTTCGAGTGTTTTGATCCTCATCAAAATGAAGATAGTTGAATTTTCTAAAAAACTTTAATGAATGACGGCCCAACTTTTTCATTCTAAG